AGTAATGTGTATGTGCATTGATTATAGATATTAGCTAAAAACTTATGAACATGCTTGTTGATTAGACTTTGAGTTGTTCATCAAAGTGCCACCTGAAGAAAATAGAAACAAAGGCTTTTAGTTTCAATTAAAAAATCATGGATTTTGTAAAGGACTTTGTGAAAAAATATCCTCATTTTTTTTAGCTTTATGGAAATGCATAGTTCTTGGAGGCACAAAACAATGACTTTCATTTTGGATGCCACTTGCCAGTCAAGGAAAGATATGATTTTTTTGCTTTGTTCACCAGATGGAGCTGCATTTAAGTCAAATGCTTGTAAATCATTGTGAAGGCTTAAAATCTAATGATTATGTGAAATTTCCAAGAGATCTGTTGGGGCCAGTCCAACATGGCTTTAAGTACCAATTGTCTTTCATTGTGTGGCCAAGTGAAGTTATGTCACTTTGTAAACTCCACACGCAATTTTATGTACTTAATTATTATTGTTTGTCTTTTATCTGTCAATTGGTTTTGCTTGCTTGTTCCGGAAGTCAGTTTGTTTGTATTCCCTAATATGGTGTTCTTGTAAATGTTATCAGCTTGTGTTTTATGTGATTAAACCGCAGTTCTGCCCTTCAAGCAGTAAGGTTCTGTTTGTCTGGGTATAAATGTAATATGTAGTCTATTTAGTTGAAATCAGAGTTACATACTCTAACCGTAACTTTGTGAGGCTATGACAATCATCCACAGTGAGAGTCAAATACTCTCGGTAAATGAGGACCTTGGCCCGGTCACAATTGAGTTCCTCTATATTCACCTCAGTATTTGTGAGATTCTGTTCCACCATGGCCGAAACCACCAGGGCCAAAAAGAGCTGCATAACAAGGTTTGTTACAGTAGGGCTTGCCGCCATGCTGACAATACAAGTTGATAAATATATGTTTTAAAAATAATAATGGTATTTCTAGGTCTGTGGAGCATAGTAAAAAGCCAGGGGGAGGGGAGGGAGGGGAACTCCCTAATAAAAAAGGGTGGGGTCCTTGTCGTCAAAAACAGCAAAAACAACTACAATGTCGTCATAAACTCAATAGGAGCTGACAGCATTTGATGCTTGTGAAAAAACACACATAAAATCAGGATACCAAAACAAAATGACCTGTTATTGATTTGTCTCTCTTAGGGGTGAAATATCAGCACTGCCACGCCCATCAACCCAAAATGCAGGTCCCTTTTAGGGGTCATTTTCAGAATTTCCGAAGAGGACCCCCACCCTTTTTATTAGGGAGTGCCCTCCACCCGGGGTTAAAAAGTAGACAGTTTTGAGGAGATTTGAGGGGAAACCATGCAAAAAAGACGACAAACTCTACTTGCAGGGTAAAAAGAGATTGCTAAGTTAGGAGTACATAGGGTCATATGTTTATAACAGTGCTAACTTACTACAGAGGTAGAATCT